CTCCCTGTACAAGTAGTTCAAGAAAACAAGTATGAAAATCTTAGTTATTCCAATGGATCTGTTCTAAATGTGGTGGCAGTGGTGGTTTATAAGTCTACTGAAGAGTGTTAATTAATATAATGTGTACATTGAGAAGTATTTTATTAGCTATTAAATAAGATAAGGTCACAACGTTCTAGACATTAGTGGCAGGGTCTAGGTCTTTTCCTTAATTTGTAACTCTGAAACGCCTAGAGTAGCATTAGGCATGCGCTAGTTGCTGACCAAATGTTTGTGATTACTGGGCTAAGTGTCTCAACACTGTTTTTGAAGAGTGCTGATTTTGCTAAAATAAAATAAAACTAATGAAGCTTTGAAGAATTACATTTTTGATGGTGTCGTTAGGTACATGGAGACAGCCATCTAGTGGTATGTACTATAAAAGTGTAAGGTCTTTATTTCTAGTAGATACATTTACATGAAGAACTTTTTTTTATTATTAACATTATAAATTTTTTGTGCTTTTTTCAGCCTATGAGTACAACACTTAGAGAACGACTAAGGAAAACTAGATCTTCATTTAATTCCTGTTGCAGTGTGGTAAAACGTCTTAAAGTAGAAAATGAAGAAAATAAGACCTTTTCAGAAAAACCATCTTCAAAAGAAGAAAACTGTTTGGAATTTCGAGAAAGTATTAAACACAGAGATGATGAATATGAAGAAAATACATATTTAAAAAATATCTTCAAGAATATCAATGTATGTGAATCTAAGTCACTTGATAGTGGGTCATGTACTGATCTCCAGGATGACTTTGTGAATGAAAATCTTCCAAAAAAAGAATTAAATGAAGAAAAGGCAAAATTGGTGAAGCAGATTCAGGAGAAAGAAGACCTTCTTCGGAGGCTAAAACTAGTCAAAATGTATAGATCAAAGGTGAGAATAATTTCAGAACCATTGCATAATTATTATTTTATTTTTAGATAAATGATAGGAAAGTAATTTCAAAAAGGGGAATAAAAGTTATTTTAGCATAATAAGCAATGAGCCAAGTACCCAGAAAATGACTTCCAACAACTTTAACTCAAATATAAGTCATAGGTTTAGATTTAAGTAGAAGAAGCCTAAGGCTGCTTTTAGACACCAGATAACGTTTTAAGAGCCCCAACTCATTTAATGTTCAGTTGGAGCTTGGGCCAAGTAAAATAGCCATAGAACTCAAGTGAGAGTTGTAAACATTCTATTTTGAAACATCCTAATTTTCCAAGGTAGAAGTCCCATTCATTACCAAGTGTGTTACCCTTTAAACCTACTCATCA